AGTTGTTGGAGATATTTGATCAAAAAGATCAGTAGTTTTCTTGTCATTATTAGATATTAAGTTATTTTAAAAAATTATTTCAATTAATGAATTTATATAAAAAAATTTATATTTTGAAATTACTGATCAATATCTCTAAGACTCTATATGATTTTTTTGAAATTAAATTAAATCGATAATTCGTTCAAAGTGTGGAAATCGATGACATTAAAAGTGCTCTCAAGTACAACTAAACTAACCTGTAATGTTATTACATCAATCTACTAGCAAAATATGTTGACGAATTTTAACCAACGCTGTTAGTATTGCTCGCCTTTCATCCGGTTCTGTAAGATCTAGACCGGTCCTCAGACCATTTTCCCTTGGCCATCGTTGAACTACAACTGATTGTTCTTGCGGTAAGCCATCAATAAGTTCCTTCCAATATGCTTCAGAAATTACAGCCTTATAAAATGTAACGTACGTAGAGATTATACGCATGAAAAATATGGTCTGATCCATAGGGGTAGAATTAATATTCATGTATGCACAGACAAGAAGTTCGGCGGTAATTTGCGTTTCTCCAAAGTTAGTCATCGGCCCGATGTCTTTTAGTTGTTTGTCCTGTTAATAAGTTGTTTGGTTCAATAAGAACATGAGATATTCATACGTTCTAAACATATTACATACAGTTTCTATGGCCAATCTAGCAATATCTTTTTTTTCAATCACAATTTCAGGATGCACTTGTATATGATTTTCGTATTTATCGCTCTTATCGAAAAATAGACTACAAAAAGATTTGATAAAGTGAATCTTTAAAACTGAATAGGAAATTGACAATAACTTGGGTGCAATAATTACTTGATATTCAGAGGCCAACAATTCAGACCAAAGTTTGTGACACAGTTCGTTTACCAAAGAGTCAGTGCTAGAATATCTTGTACCTATGACCTCCTGTGAGGTTTCTGCGATATGCAACCAATCAATGAAGCTTCGGAGGTGATTGGAAACTTCAAGCTTTCCAACATTGAAATCTGGCAATCTTAACGCATGTTTGTTAATGTTGGGGAGAACAAATTCTTCATATTCTTTCGGAAAGTTGATAACTAACAATGTTTTAAATGTAAGTATTAGACTCACTAATAAGATTAATGACAAAGTACAGCTCGTACCTTTAACATCAGGTATAACTTCATTTTCAGCTGATGGTTTGAAGTTCACTTTCAGCGCTTTCATATCTTCACTTGTGAAAGAAGATGCAGTTGTGTCGGCATACCCTTTCTTTTTAAAATTCAGCAAGGCTCTGACTTTTTTCAATGACATCGAAATGTTGTTTTTAACTAATGTGGAACTTGATGAGAGTACTTTTTGCGAGAGACGAACCATTTTTTTTTGTTCATTGATCATCTATTGTATTACTAAATTATTTACATAATTTTTATTTCGGGATATTTCGGCACGGGTATGATTGACGAGTGATAATGCTGTTAATGTTGATTTCATTAAATTTTTAAATAATTCATTTATGAAAAAAATCACGGTTTTACCCGGTATTTTAAATAATTTTTTTATTATTACTGGAATTAATTCAATTCAATATTATTTTGTTTATTTTCAACTTATCGCAGCACAATCTCGTGTTGAGTTTTTGAAGCAACAAAAAAAGAAAAAAAAAAAAAAAAAAATAATAAAAAGTGCTTGCCTATATTATACATTAAATAAACGCATTCATTCCATAAAACCCATAAGAGAAGGAACTAGAAAGAAAAAATAAAACGTAAAAAATTAAAAAGAGTCACCAAAGAACAGATAAAATTTCCTTCGTTATGAATACATTTGCAAAGTTGCAAGGCTAGCTTATTAAAATATTCCTGATTGCAATGATCCATCATCAGCGTACTCTTAATCAAGTTAATTTGTATTATTAATTGAAGTATACATATAGTATATATATTATAACATTTTACCTCATTAACGATCTCTTTAATAGTCAAATTATATGAATGTTTTAAAGCCATGGCATTTTCAGAACCTTTCAATTTACGCAATAATCATTTCCATAAGACCGTAGTGAATTTGGCAAAATCATAATATTTGATAAAACGCTCTTTCAAATCAGCGTTGGAATAATTTATTACTGATGTTAATTAGGTAGGTTAGTTGGTCAGATAAGCTAAAAAAAATATGTTTATCAAAAGGATATTTAAATCACTAAGTCGTGTAAAGTTTAATAACATTAGGCTAGCACGATGGTAAAGATATCAGAATGATAATCCCTTTATTTATCTCCGAAAATTGAATGTTCGATGAAATCAAACGTCTCACAATGTTGAAAAGCTTGTATAATTTTGCATGATATATTGGAGATAGGATACTAGCATAACAACAGTGACAGTGTTTCAATTTGAGTTGATTAATATTTTTTATTAATTTTGAAAGTCTAATTTTTTTCTTAGAAAATATTAAAAAATCGTAAATGTACTTCCTATAGGGAACGAGTTAAATCGGCATTAGAGCAAAAGAATTTAAAAAAATTTTCAAGATATATTGACAAATATTAAAAGTCTGGTTAAATCCTTTATTTTTTTTCCTTTATTTTTTTTTTTTTTTAAGATTTAAAAATTTTACTTTCTTATTTATTGTTATTATCATATGACTTTTTTCATTTTTGGGATAATAAAAAATGCATTCAGAGATTATACTTTAAATCCATTTTATTCGGCATTATTTTAAATACTCGTTAAAAAATCAAATCAATAAATAATAAATTTGTAAAAAAAATAATATACACTCAAGAATCAAAATCCTTAAAAAAATAATTATACGCAAAAAGAATTGTATTCACATCTTTGTTAGGAATGTATTTATTTAAATAACTCAAGTAATTCTTAAAAGATACTCGATTTATTTCATTAACATTATTAATTAACATTTTTATATTTTGTAAAAAAAAATTGCGTTTTGTAAAAATTTTGCGTGAATAATAGGAATAAACTGATTCTTATTTTTATTTTTTAGACGGGTCGGAGTAATTTTTTTTTTAATTTATCTTTTCAATAATTATTTTGTTTTTAGTTTTTTTTTTTTTTTATTATGTAATTTCTTTCGGGTTGGATCGCTAGGTAAAGTTGTTTATTAAATTATTATATTTTTTTATTTTTGATCGGTTCGGGCACGGCGACTTAATGATTTCTTATTTTGGTTTTGCTTTCAAAAGTTTTGGACAGCGGGGTGTGGTGGACGATCAGTCTCCTAAGAAGGCGCAGTTTATTCCTCGATCATTATTTAACACACATTAATATAAAATTTCAATTATTCAATAATTATAATTTGACAAAAAAGAAAATTTCTCGTCTGAAATACGGTATTGTTGTCAATGAAAATAATTCTAATTTTGGTCCGGTGATAATTTTAGTTAGACTTTTAGTCTTTTCAGCCAATAAGACATGTATCCAAAGTGTCGTCTGGCCAAATTGTCCTTTGTCAAAAAATTTATTGGGTTTACCTTGAGATTTAGACAAGTTCGTTTTTCTGGATATGCTATACACAACAAACTCCCTCCCTTTTCTTCCGATTTTTAATTTTATTTCTTAATTTTTTTTTCTTTTGTTCGTAGTTTAGCATTTAATAAAACTGAATTTTTCAGAATAAATTAATATTATTGAATAATTTTTTTCTTTAATTGATTTGAAATTAACAGTATATTCACGAAATCATTATTTTATCTTAATTTATAATAAATAAATCATTGGAATGGATTCATTTCGTCATATCCTTTCCTGCCTAATCATTTCATTGTAATAATTCATCATATTGGTTCTTTTTGAAGTTTTATAGTTTTAAGGTGGAATTTTCCTTTAAAAAAAAAAAAATTAAGTTCCGCGAGTATATAATATGTTAAGCTAAACTCAATTTGATTTTCGATTTTCAAGCAGCAAACTTTATTTGGTAAGACAAGAAGCGGTTAGATCCTTTTTTAAGTGATTATTTACGGGAGGGCTGAGTAAAAATTTCCATGCAAATAAAAGCCCCCCCCCCCCCCCCCCCCCCCCCCCCCCCCCCCCCCCCCACAAAACAAAAAAAAAACAAAAAAAAACACCAAAAAAAAAAAAAAAAAAAAAAAAAAAAAAAAAAAAAAAAAAGGTAACAATCCGAAAGAAACCTTCGAAATAAATATAAATGCATATCGAAATTTGAGAAAAAAAACTCGAATATTTGAAACTTCAAACGTAAATCCCCACTTATTATGAGTACGTATTTGTAGTTTATTGGTTTTGTTAGTTTATTACAAGTTACATCAAATAAATTTTTTTGTTTTTTCAGAATTTTTATGATCATCCGTAGTAATGATCATAAATTGTAAAATTGTTAATTTTTCATCATTAATCGCGTTTTTATTTTTTTTTGTATTTTTGTATAGACAGGTGACGTCATTGGTTTGGCGCAGCAATATAACGTGTGATTTTTTATCCAAAAAAAACAAGCATGACAGAGCATCAAAGGTAAATCATTGTTTATTGTGATTTTTATTTTCCTTTATTCCGAAGATTGGGGGAGGTTATCTATTTACCGGATTTACAATTAAATCCTTTATTTCCTTTACCAGTTAAAAAAACTTTTTTTTATGGCCGCTAGGTATTCGTAAACGAAAATCGACGAAAACAAACGATGATCCCGTTTTAATAAATTGGCTTTGTTCCGTTTAATTTACATTCATAGATCTCATTTTAAAATGAAACGTGCGACCAGATTTTTTCGCATGAATTGAAGATATCGAAGAATCATGTGGACGATAAATATTGGAATCATCGGAACTTCATTACCCCGAATTTCCCCGCGTTTATCATTTTTGACATAAATTTAAATTAAATAAATAAATCATTCTCCTTAATCATGAATTCATTTATAAACATCATACGCTATACCAAATCAGATTGTAAAAGACGACACCTTCGCGAATAGATCATATTTATGCTTCTTCCATTAAACGAATATAGAACAATTACGTTCAACAAATATTTTATATTTGTAACAACTTGCAACAAGAGAAGGGCTTTTTTTTTTTTTTTTTTTTTTTGTAGAAACATTAATAAAAAATTTATTAAATATCCAAAAGGTATTGTTAAAAACTGTCAGGAATTTTTTGAAATCTCCCAGAATTATACAAAAGATTACTTTTTTTTACTGTTCACATAATGATTCGCCCGGTAATAAAGAGGAACCGCTGTTGCTGCTATAACTGTAAATCCTTGTGCAGCTACCCTGTACCTTAAAAAATGTTGCATGGTTTTTGAATCTCCTCTATAAAATCCTATTGTCGCCCCTACCAACGCGAATAAGGTTGCAAACATTCCTATTAAAGCAAATTAATAATTAATCATAAATCGAGAAAGAATGTGAAAGTTAAAATATAAAGGAGAGATAATGATACCGAGAGGAATTAATGGTTCTTCCTTGAGTCGTCTAACGAACCTATTATTTAAAGTTTCATAACGAACTTGTGGTTCTTGTAATGGTAACGATGTGTTAGAGGTGGAAGAGGGAGAGGAAGAGGGAGACGGTCCGGTTTGTTGTGACATTATCTAAAAGAAGGAACGAATTTTGTTAATAACCATAAAACAAATGTAAATTTTTTGAAATATTAATTAACCGAAATATATTCCTTTTAAACATTTGTTTTTATGGTTATTATTTTCCACCCACTTTGACTTACCTCCAAAAAATATATATGACTTTCCCTCTAAACAACACTTTCACCATCGCAATCCCCACTATATACTTTCCTTTTCTTATAACCAATTGCGGGTCCAATAAATTATTCGCAATAAAAAAGGAATCCCCAAAAAAATTTTTTTTTTGCTTTATGGATAATCTGTCGAACATCAATTAGCATTGTTACACGGCAACGGAAATAACAAGTCACGTGAAATTCAAATTTTTTTTTTAATTCATAAAAATCAATATATACGCTATTTATAAAAACCCAAAGCTTGAACCAAAAGTAAGAGGAGATAAAAAATTATTTTATTCTACACAAGTCCATAATTGTTTATTTGTCATTAAAGACCAAACGCAGAGATAATTATCTTCCCAATCAGCGTTTCGGTATTCTAATGCTTGTTCTGATTTAGCCTTTGGTCTTAAAATAATTAAAGCTTTAAGATATTTTTCATCGGGCCAAATAACAAAAGCTAATTCTAATAATCTAACAAAACTATTCAATTCAAATTCTTTAATATTCTTAAAAGGCCAACCTTTCCCATCTGTCAGAGCATAAGGTAATAAATAATCAACCGCTTTTTTAATGGATTGACCTTTAGGACCAACGTAATTCCATCCATCAAATCCGTAATATTCTGATCGTTCAGCCAAGAGAAATAATCCTTGTAAATTAAAAACAGAATAAAACCATGAAGTGGGACGGCTTGTTTCATGACGTTGTTGTCCTGAAGAATTAATTCCTGTATCTACCCTATGAATCAGCGCCTCACGTGAATACTTACGCGCATCATCTTCTCTGTTTAAATATGTTAATAAAAATGTTGCTTGCACGTCATAATATGTTCCATGATTATTTGATGAAGCCCTTTCCTTTATTCCTAAAGAAGTTGTTTCTAACCACTCATAATAATCTGATATCCATTGTTTTAACTGATCTTCGACCAAGAAATCCCATTTACTCGATGAACGCATTAAAGGTATGGATTGTAGCATTCTATAAATCGGATGCATATCTAACACGCCAGTTCTTCTTCCCGATCTGGACCCTTTGATAAAACTTGCATATTTTAGATTAGGATTCATTTTTGTCTCCGGATTTATAAACCATTCTTTAATTCTATAAATTGCTTTCTCAACATATGAATCATTTCTTGTAAAAGAATAAGCAAATCCTAAATTCTCGACGTCCTTAAATAATTTTCTCAAGAAAGCATAATCCTTGACGGTTTCAATCTCAGGATTAGGGTAACCATCTCGATTTATATAAGGTAATCCCTTACGTTCCTTTGGATTCGGCCAATAATACCTTGCCAATGACATATAATCATGTGGATCATGTGAAGGTGCAAGTTGAGGCTTTAAGGTCACCGAATAAACCGAATTATTCTTAAATGCTAAATCTGCTTTATACACCAACATTGATAACATTTGATGATGTTGTTGTCGGAAAATGGAAAGGTAATTTACGTAGTATCTACTATTTATGTATTCTTTAGGTTTACCGTCGATATCATAAACTGTAGACAGCTTGTTAGAAATTGAAGGTGGGATCGCATTCATTGTATCGAAGGGTTCAGTTTCATCTTTCACTTCAATTTTATTTGATTTTCTTGGTGAGTCGTTCATTGAAATATTTTTGGTTTTTGAATAATCATTAAGGTCGTGATCTTTTATAGAATTGTCTGTTAGACCAAGCGTCCATAAAAAAATAAAACATAGCGTACCAAATATGGTTAAAATCAACAATTTCTGATTATGTGATCTCATATCTTGGAATTTCCCAAGGCAAAAAGAATTCTTTATTTTCGTTATAAAAATAAAATAAAAAACAAGAAAGAATTAAAGAAAAGACAAAAGGTGAATTGAAATTTAAAAAGTATTTAAATAATTATCGTAATCATAAGTAAGGAGATAGTTTGGTTAGAAATTGGTAATTCATTTCGGAATAGTTGGAAAAGGAAAAGAATATCTAGTATACTAGGAAACGGTGACCGTTGTGAGTCCTGTGCGAGTTATTGGACGAAAATCACGTGGCGGACAGAGAAACGCTCACATGACCAATGTTTTCTCAATGCACAGAAATATATGGTCCTTCGCTCAGGACAAAAATTGCATGTATTGTATGCTAAATAAAAATTTCTTCTGGAAATTAAGAAGGTGATAGTGTGATTGGATTTTACTCAACAATATAAACATTTGAAATTGGGAATTTGAAATCATGTAATGAAATAAAACTTTCAAATTAATAATTAATGTGTTCTGTAATAACTTTTAATGTGGGAAGTTTCTTTACATGTTATACAAGTTTCTTATAACTTCATAACCAAATAACTGATTATTGCTGCACTAACTGAAACTGTTCGGTTCTTTGAAACACTTAAAACTCATTTATGCACCGCAGTAAAATTGTTTATTTCGTAAACGAGCGATTAACAAGAAGCCAAGTCAAAAAAATAAAATATATAATAATCCAAGAATTACAATAATTTGATTTGTTTACGTCTTGGTTTTCTTTAAAATTTAACTCTCTCTTGGCAGTTCAAAGATAATGGACACTTTGAATTTCTTGGCAAAACAATTCTGAGAGTATTGTGTTGCCAAGAAATTAAAAAACATTTCCATATTTAACCACTTGCATTAATTTTCTAATTATAACTGGATACGTCATTCAATTCGGGCATGGTACTCCTTAGTTTAAAACCTTTAAACTAAATAAAGAAAATAAGACCAATTATTTTTCACTTATCCACCTTTGTCTTGGGAACTTTTTATTTATAAAAAGACAAAAACGACTTGGAAAAAATATTTTTCAACAAATTTACCAACAAATTATTTTCAAATAGCGAAAAACTCGATTTAATAATATCCTAAGTGTTGCTGCCTTTAAATAAAAGTTAAAAATGTCTCTGACACCTCTTGCCTCACCTCTACCTGTTAAAAGTGAAGAATTAACTTGTCTTTGGGATCAATGTTTTCGTACCTTTGACGATCCTGAATTACTTTACGGTCACTTAGCTCATGACCATGTTGGTCGCAAATCAACCGGTAACTTGTGCCTTAGTTGTCATTGGGATAAATGTGAAGTGGTAACCACGAAAAGAGATCATATCACTAGTCATTTGAGAGTTCATGTTCCTCTTAAACCGCACGTCTGTGAAATTTGTAAAAAAGCTTTTAAACGCCCTCAAGATTTAAAGAAACATGAAAAGATTCATACTGATCAACATCAACAAGCGATTACAATGGGAAGAATTAATAGAGCTAAATCTCTTCAACCCCCCACTCCACCTCATTGTTGTTCTTCCTCTGAACATTCACCATCAATATCATCTGTTTCTTCACCTCATCATATTCCTCTCTCGCCTGGTAACAGTGTAACCTCGGAATTAAATAATGATTATTCATCATCAAACTATGAAAATTATGATGTTTATTCCCAATTTGCTAATGGGGAATTATATGACTTAAACACTTATTTAATGGACTCTACAAACGGTTTAAATCATTATAATCGTTCAAGCAATAAACGTAGTGTTGATATGTTTGATGGTTTCGTTCAAGACGTTAAAAGGAAACGAATTGAACCTCATTACGATGATGGTAAATTAATTCTTTTTTTTTTATTTTGATTTTAAAACAAGGAAAAAAATTTTTTTTTTATTTAATTTATTAACACCTTGCTTCTACTTTAGTTTTGTTTAGAAAATTGGAGGATTTATCGAAGGTCATTGATCAAAATGGATTGGAGTTTGATTCGCTTCCATCTCTTAATACTAAAGAGGATTTTAATGAAATCAATGACTTTTTCGCTAATACCTTGAAAGAAATTAGTCCCGAACTCATATTGAATGATCTTGCTTTGGGTTTAGACAATCCATATAATTCAAATGTTCAATTAGTTCCACTTCCCCTTAATACTTATCCGGCTGATGCTGATGCGAATGGCTTTTTAAGTTTAGATGAGAATAATACCGTTGATAATGTTTTATATTCTTCTAATTATCCTACAAGTGTTAACCCTCCCGTTAGTAATTTACATGATGGTTCTTTTCAAACCGCTTTATCAAATATTTCTACTACCATTCCAACTACTTCAACTCTTTATAATCCCAATAATATTCCATCTCCACCGGAAGATTCAAAATATCCTTGGAATGCAATGGGTTTGATGTATGTGCCTGATATAGCTAATCCAATGACTTCCACCACTTCTACTACGACACCTACTTTACCTTCTCAAATGTTTCCTGCACAATCTCTTATTTTTGCTACTGGAGCTGGAGGTTATGAAAATCATGTTTCATTATCTCAAACATCGGAATATCTCGATGTGGGTCAGGAGTTGACTCCTCATCAACAACATGTTGAAATTCAAAAAAATCCCCCAACTAAACCTTCTTTACAAGAGGCAATTTCGCAATCGAGCAAAATTCGTGCGAGCACTACTACCGCAGAAAATAATAAATCACAAAAGAAAAGTACTAGTAGTTCTGGAGGAAATGAAGAGAAGGATGTAAAATCATCTGGAATTATGACACATGCTTCTCATCAAAGAAATCAAGAAGACGTTATGGTGGGGAAGGATAATACAGCAAAGATGAATGATCTTATGGATCAATTATCCAAGGATTTATATAACATCGATATAACAGATGATGATGATCCCGTTGCTCAATCTTCACCTGTTGAAAATGTTGAATTAAAAGCTAAGCATGTTGCTATTATTATTGCACTTTATAAAAAATTTACTCAACTTTCCATAAGAATGGATGAACAAGTAAAAGAAAATGATAGGGTTAAAGTAAAAATAGAAGTATAAGAATTTTTTTTTTTTCCTTTTTTTTAAAAAAAGGTCGAATGTATATTTTATTATAGAATTATGACCAGGGTGAAGAAATATAAGTTATCCGGTTTATCATTATCATTATTTTTATTTCTATCATTTCATATAACTATTTTTCCAAACAAACTCTTTTTTTGTATGATACCTAAATTATATCTAATTTATCTTTAGTAAAGATTATTATAATAAAAAAATTATAGTATCTAAAAGACATTTGTTAATTATTATAAAGAAACAAAGTTATTAAATCTTTTTTACAAAATTATCATTGGTCCATTTCATCATCCGAAACTTCCAATTCTTGAAACTTTCTCGTGATCCTTTTGATATGATGCTTACTTCTTGATCTATTAATACTATCACCAATTACATTTGAAGAATCCCAAGCTATTTTACAGGCTGGACATACATAATCATTTCTTGAATCAAAGTATCTAAGAACACAATGATTGTGAAAGCGTGTTTTACATTGTGCAACCCTACACCTTTGTCCCTAATTGTAATTTTTGTGTTAGAAAAAAGGAAATTTTTTTAAAAGGAAAAAAAGAATTATATTTCCGAATATCAATTAATCTCACTTTTGTAACAATGTCATAACATAGAGTACACTCTAAAAGGTGATCTTCGAATTCTTCTTTGAGGTACTGTTGTAATTCCAAGATCGATCTTTGACTCAATGAATACTTTCCTTCACTATATAATATAAAAAAAAAAAATTGAAAAAATTCTTTTTTAAAAATATCACTTACATGTTTTATGCATTTGAATTGATAATTACCGTGATCTAATCAACCATTTATCATCCGTAAATCGTTGTAATAACGTTTCTCCGTTACTTTTTGTTAATGGAACTTTTAACTTTGAAACTTCTTTTAAAGCTATAATTGATGATACAGAAAATTCCTCATCATCTGCTGTAACAATAAGTTCTATCTTTTTTATTTATTTAAAAATGTCAATTTGATTATAGTTATGAAAATGAAAATGGATTTAATAAAAATAATAAAAAATGTCGTCTTTTACCAATCTTCTGAAAAACGTTATTTCCACAGGTGAGTATTCGGTGGCTATTTGTGCGATATCATCACCATTTGTATTGACCTTTAGAAAAAAAAAAGGGAAGGGAAGGGGAAAGGGAAAGAAACGAAACGAAACGCAAAGACGTCTCTCAGAAAAACTCTTTTTTTTTTTTTAAAAAAAAAAAAATTATTAATTATATATTTATTAAATTATATTACTAAAGCCCAAACTGGCTTTCCATCATCTTCGTTATGACTTTTTCGAAGTTCTAAATCTACAATATTTAGCTTTGCATTAATCGTCGCGATAAATTCTGTAAAAGTTTCTGAATTATGATCTAAACAAGGTCATTCTATTTTAATAATTTTTCTTAAAAAAATCTTTTGAAAAAATAATAAATTAATACCGTCGGTGGCTTGACATGCTTGCTGGTATAATCTAATCGCTGTTTCCTCCGTGAAAAACCTTTCAGCGATAGAAGCTTGTAAAAATAACCTGTGTGTGTCTGTATACTCACCATTCATAATCGTTTTTAACTAAGCCAATAATAAAAAAAAAAAAAAAATGAAAAAAAGAATGAAAATTTCTTCATGAGAATGTCGGAGAGCGCGACTCCAATCCTACTTTCACGAGTGACGAATATTTAATGCTGTGTCACCTCAATTTATGGCATTTATTTAACATTATTTATTATTAAGAATTGGGTAGAATGTTTATCTTTATTCTTTTTTACAATGTTCATTTAAATTTATGAAATTCTTTTTCCTTTTTGAACATTCAATTACATTGATCTACAGGGTTAAAAATTTTAATCATTCACTTGGAACGTCGATTAAAATTTTATAATTTCTCCCAGAGAAACCCCTATTTGTTTTGATTTTGAGCTATTTTTTTGTAAGCAATTTTTTTTTTTGTTTATAATATGTTCGTTCTACGTAAATGAAAAGGATAAAAAAGAAGAAGGGGGGGGGGGGGGGATAATATTATAAGGAATAAACAATAATACAAAAGGTTTAAAAAAAATGTAAAAGGGGAGTAAAGCGAACAATCAGAAAAAAAAAGATTCAATTTAAGAAAGTTTATTGAAATCAAAAAAAAAAAAAAAAGAAAAAAAAAAGAAAAAAAAAATTATATATATGTTTGTATAAAACGGATCATATTGTAAATTTAACAAGGCGGGATAAGGTGGTAAAACCTAAAGGAAAAAACAAGAATGAAAGGGTTCTCTTTTTATGGATAAAATTTTGTAAAGTTTTGTATGGAGTGCCTCCTAAATAAAATATATAGTAAAAGTCCCAATGTTCATAAAAAAAAAAATTATATATTGCGAAATCCAGTGTGGATGTCGTTCTAATAAGATATATACATACATATACACACCCAAATATAAAACACGCACACAAATTTACATAAAATATAATACGCTCGAAATTTCTCTGTTTTTTCCGTGACAAAGATGTTAAGTTGAAGTGGTAAAATATTTACCAACCAGCCAAGTATAACGGATTTTAAAATAATTAAGCATCGGAATCTCCGCCATTTGCAGTTGCCATTCGACGGTCCTTTTCATTTTCTAGCTGATTATACAATAAGTAAAGAGCTTTCTCATTGGATTCGGGAGTTCCTTGAATTGTGAACATCCGCTCGCCGGTTTCGTCATGTGGCGTCTTTGCGATGCTAATGCGAGAACCTGAAAGTCTGCGAATTTCGGAAATTTTTGACCCGCCTTTACCAATAATACATCCAACCATATCAGCAGGAATAGAAATATTTTGAGTTTGAATGCTGTTACTATCATAATTGTTAATACTGTTAGATTGACGACGATTATTATTATGATAATCGCGGGAAGGACGAGTGAAATCAGTCCCATTGCCAGTACGGGTAGTATAATCATTACGGCGGGTGGTAGAATAACTTGAAGAAGTTACTCGAATGGCGGGATTATATAGGACTGTTCCAATACCACGTTCGTTATCTTCGATAAGACACTTGCCAATTTCCCAAACTGCAACACGAATGGCCTCGACAGTTCCCTGAACTTCCACAACTCTTTCGGTACTCTGAGGAAGCATTTCCTTTGATGCGACCATCCTAGCCCCAGAAACATCTTGAATATGTTTGATTTTAAGTCCTTGACGGCCAATGATAGTTCCCATCAAATTATGAGAAATAAGCAAACGAACGGAAGTAAATGCATTCGGTGAAGGGGTTATTGGCGTGGAATTAGGGCTTACGTTCACCGGATTCTCAAGAAGGGTTTGTGCGATCAAAGAATATGCCTGTAAGATGAATTAAAATTGTTTAACTAAAAAAATTATCTTCTTCTAAACTATAAATGCGATTGTAGAATTCATTAAAATAAATGTTTACCTTGGCTACACCATTAAGGGTACCTGCGACAGATAATACTCTGTCTTGAACACCTTGCACTACTTTAGATACACCGGCTTTAACACCTGTAATCTCCCTCAACTCGGCAACATTTTTACCGGCTTTACCAATAATTACTCCTGCTTCTTTTGTAGAAACTAAAGCTCTTAGGGTAAGTGCAGAGTTTGATATATCTCCATCATCTTCTTCAATGGATTCTTCTCTGTGTTCTTCTTCAACTTTACTGTTATTTTCGATAGTAATAGCATCATCGGTTGTAGTCATAAATGGAGCATTATGTTCAAAAAGTGAATGTGAATTAACTGTAGGAGTTGAAGAGGAGGAGGAAGTGGCGGTGGTGATACCATTATTTGTAGTTACGACCGTAGGAACGCTAGTTCCATTACTCTCGGCCTGGTCTTGAAGACTGACACGGTTGGTGATAGGATCATTTGCCATTTTATGAACGAGAAATGGTTACGTCAAGTATGTTGTTTTGACTATATAATAATCGAAATTAATAAATGAATTTATTAATAAATTAACAAAATTACCAAAACTTTCTTAGATTATGTTATATCTCACTTTTATTTTTGAACTTCCTAACCTATGAAATAATCCGGAAATATTGGAGATAAAAAATCGTTAATAACAAGGAATAAGGTAGGAAAGTATCTTTTTTGGTTTCTTGAGATAACCCGGAGTGAAGGAACAATACGTTCCAATGTAAGTCAAGTCACAGGAATAATAAAAGGAATAATAAAGGAATAAAGAGGTGGCGAAAATAATTGGAAAGATCGAGGTATATCGAAAAAAATTTTTTAATATTTTTTTTTTTTTTATATAATATATATATATATATATATATATTTTTATTTTTTTTTTTTTTTTTTTTTTTTTTTTTTTTTTTTTTTATAAATAAATAAAAAAATTTTTTGGGGTGGGTGTTGAGAGGGTATGGAGGTTGGG